CGTCGCCGGCGGCTCACAGCAGCCCAGCTCCAGGTTGAGCTGTTGTTCAGCATCTTAGCTGTAGAGGGCAGTGTCATTGGCCCTCATATATAGGATCCGAACTGGGGCCCTCTGGTGTCCCAAGCCAGCTCTTAACCAATGTGCCACTCGGCTGGCCCTATGTTTAATTTTTTGAGGAACCTCCATACTGTTTTCTACAGTGGCTGAATGCTGGCTTTATAAAACAGCATTTGCTAAAGATAATTTCTCTGATGGTATAATGCGGTGATTCTTGCAGGCCCTACACTATGTGGCCCCAGACTGTGGGGCACTTTGTGTTCTGTGTCTGTTTGCTTGGTTGGTTGGTCAGTTGGTTGGTTGGTTGGTTGGTTGTCTGTTTATATGTGGCCAATGTTTTCTTATCAGGCCTATTTTTCTTCATTGAAGCTCTTTGCTTATTTCAATCTGTTCTGCACAGGTAAGGTTGTTGATGAGTTCCAGGCTAATGAACTGAAACTGCACACAGCCAATAATATTCTGCTTCTCCTCATGCAGGAGGGATGAGTTATGGAGAGAGTGCCAAGGGGTCAGTGACACTTGTAGTGGCCTCTCTTCTTTTAGGGCAGCCCCTGCGTGTCATGGGAGTTCTCTCTATGTGCTCAGTCTGCAGCCACTTTTTATACTCTGTGATGTGGACGGTTCCATCCACCAGTAACCTGGGAGGGCAGATCATGGACCCTTTAAAGGATGGGTCTGGGGTCCCTAAGGTGTGAGCTCCATTCACAGCTCCATTGTAACTAGCTATGGGATCTTAAGTAAGTTGTTAATCTTTTTAAACCCATTTCCTCATCTTTAAAATATGGACAATAATAGCACATACTTTTACAGTCAAATGAAATTCTTAAGCATGTAGCAGATGCTTATGAAATGGCAGCAACCATAATTACCATCAGTAACTTTTTTATTGGACTGCTTCTAATGGTTCAGTCATTAGAAAGACAAAAATAACATGGTCCCTGCTTGTGGAGCTCATAGTCTGTGAAAGAAGCAGATATTTAGACACCACACACACACATACACTCAAACTATATGACCATTTGGATAAATGCTATGAAAGAGAGAGGACCCATAGAAAGAACTGACTTCATCGGAGCAGTCTCACCAAGGATGTCACTGAAGAAATGATGTTTTGCTGACTATGAAGGAAGGTAGAAAGAGGTTAATGAGGGCAGTGAGGAGTCATTGAAGCAAGAGGGTGATATGTGTCTGTCTTCAAGTGATTTGTATATGTGAGCCTCCTCAAATACTTTTTGGGCAGAAATATGATAAAAATAAAATGTGTACTTTCTCAGTTTATTACTTTATGGTTTCAGGTCATTTCCCCTGTATCAGTTAGGGTGATTTTGGTCATGCAAAACAGAAAATCCAACTAATGGTGTCTTGAGCCATTTAAAGACATTTACTTCTTACCTAACAGATCCAGAGGTGGTTGATCCCAGGATCAGCTCAGTGACTCAGTGATGTTGTTAAGAACCCAGACTCTCCCCTTTTACTCTGCTAAAGCATGTTGACTTTTCTTCCTCACACTTCTCACCTTGTGGCTGAGAAGACAGCTGCTACAGCTCCAGGCATCATAACCTCACACTACTAGATCCAAAGACAGAAATGAAAGAGAGTAGAAAAACGCATTTCTCTTCATACACCTCTGTCTTTTTTTGTTCTTTTAAAGATTTTATTGGGGAATTGGGGGAGGGGAACAGCATTGGGGAATAGGGAAGGGGAACAGACAAGTTGCTGTCCTTTTTGTTCTTCATTCTAGCTGTGGAGAATGCCACTTCACTGGCCCATTTTGGTATTATCATTGCGCTTTTCCCGGGTGAGGCAGTTGCTCGCCGGCCATGGATGGCCACACACGGTCGCTCACGGTGGCTCACGGCGGCTCACGAAAGCTCACGCCCGCTGCCGGCCAGCCCCACTGCAGCTTACACCATCGCTGGCGACTCACGGCAGCCCAGTTCCAGGTTGAGCTGTTGTTCACCATCTTAGCTGTAGAGGGCGCAGCGTCACCGGCCCTAATGTGGGATCTGAACCGGGGCCCTGCTGCTCAGAGCTGGCGTCCCAAGCCAACTCCTAACCAACGCGCCACTCGGCCAGCCCACACCTCTGTCTTTTAAAGAAGGAAAATCTTTCCTAGGCGTCCCATGGCTGCCAGGCTGGCTTAGACCAGCCATGATTCATGCCTTAACAGTCAGTCAGGGTTCTAGTTCCAAGAAGACAGGGTAATGGTTGTTGGCAAGGCAACCAACAGTATCTGCCACATTTCCAGAAAAAGGAATAATGCAGTTAAAGCAATCCAGCTTAGCCACTGAGGTTGGTGTGATTTCCCCCCAACATCAGTCTCATAAAGACCCTCCACAAGCTGATCTGGTTTCGTTTTACAGTTCTCCATCTCTTCCATAGCCTGCTCTGGGTGGGGTCCTGTGGTTTTAGCATTACCTACCAGGAAATACAACTGCTAGTTGGCTGCTAAACAACTAAACTGCTAAACAGCTTGGATGGGGGTGAGTATTACCATAGGACAAAACTGCAACAACCTGGGGCAGGATCAGAGATGTGTCTTCTCCAGGTGCTTGACATGGGTGCTCTCATGGTCTCAGAGTGAGGTTAAGCATTTGAATGCTTCTTAATGTAACTGCTGTTTCCTACCTCTCCTAAGTAGCTGGATATCTTGCGAGATCAGCTTTTGTTTACTGTGCCTTGTGCTGTCTGATGTCACTATCAGGTGCCACTGCAGATGGCAGCTCCCTACATACTTTGGGCCCTAGTGATCAGGTTAACTGAAAGAAGAAATGATAGGATTTTCTCAGCTTTTCCATCTTTCACGGAAGGGGCTGGCCTGGGGACTGTCGCCCTCAACCCATTTTTCAGCTCTTTGACCATCAAAGGGGGAAAAGACCCATTCTGAAGAATCCAGAGGTACACGTCAGGTACCAGGTTCTCTTTCAAATGAGCTCCCAGAGAAAAGGAGCTGTATTTTTTTGTGTCCTGCAGATGACCTTATTTACTGAATATGTACCGGGAAGGGCTGACCTCACAGCTCTGGGACAAACCTAGAGCCTGAAGTCACGCCTTCCCTTTCTCCCCTCAGGAATCAACTACTGTGCGCTGAACAAGCCGGGCTGTGAGCACGAATGTGCCAACACGGAGGAGGGTTACTACTGCCGCTGCCGCCGCGGCTACACCCTGGACCCCAACGGCAAGACCTGCAGCCGTGAGTGTGCCCAGGGGCTGGGATGCTGACTGGAGGGAAGGGGCCACACCACATCCCCAGGCTCACTAGCAGCCAGCCACTTCTGAAGCTCCTGGGTTTCCTGTGGGCCTGATGGTCCGACAGGCTTAACCTTCCTTGCCTCAGTTTCATCATCCACAAAATGAACTATTAATGCTACCTTCCTCATAGATTGGGTTATGATGATGAAAAGAATCATTATGTATAAAACACTTAGAAAAGTGCTACTAAACATGTAATAAGTGCTCAATAAATATTAGCTAATATTATTATTTGCTGTTGAGAGCACTGATTAAGTCAGACTAGCCTGAATCCAAGTCCAAACTCTACCGCACACTAGACGTGTGACCTAGGACAGTTATTGAACTTCGCCAAGCTTTAATTTCCCTATCTGTTTAACAAAATAAAGATAATAATAGGACTGGTCTCCTAGAGTTGTTAAGAGGAATAATCAGGCCCATTTCAACCTCTTAGCACTGTGCCTGACACAAGGAAAGCACACAATTGCAGATAACAGTTTGTTATTATCAAGGAGCCTGGAAGAGTGACCAGTGCTGGCCCCAGGTCGGGACAAGAGGCTGAAAGGGACAGAGTTTGGAAAACACTTGGGCTACCACAGAGCTGATCTGAGAGCAGAGCTGAGAAACATGGGACTTTTGGTGAAGCCTTTTCTTTATTTTCTTATGTAAGAGGCACAACAAAGATCTATTTGGTGATGTAAACACATGGAAACTTGCAGGCTTTGCCATCTGGACAGTTTTGTCATTTTTTTATGAGGCACAGTCTGCACTGGTCCAGGCCAGCACGGGTGGGGGTGGGGCACCTGAGCACTGTGGTGAATCCCTATGACCCTGGTATGCTGGAAGAGGGGCTTGGTGACATGGCTGGCATAGAAGGAGCCCTGTGTGTGGCTTTTCACCCAGCAAGCCGCACACCTGCTCCAGCTTTGGGGATGGAGATATACTGTGAATGAAAACAGAGCAGCTGTTCAGCATTTGGACCTTAAACGGCCAGGAGGGGAAGTTTCAGAGATGAAGTATTGGGTACAGAGCAGTTCTCAGGAAAACTTGTGCCTCTTCAGTCTTTAGAGGGAACAAAGTGCTTTGATTAGGCTTTCTAAGGACTGATCTTAGAGGTCAAAGAACTTTTGAACCAGAAAGTTGGAACTGCTATGCATTTGCCTCTGGCTATCTCCGAGTCTTTATGAGAAGTGAGTGGGGAGCAGTAGGTCTTCCTCTCAACGAGTAGATGCCCTGGTGAAGATAGATCTGTGTACATTCCACCTTCTTTCAGGAGTGTGGGGTCTGCTAGCTGACAGCCCTGGCAGGTATCCTGGGGCAGTCTGGACCTGACCTGGCAGAGCCCACCTAGAGCCGCAGGGGCCATGGCCTGCCTCCCTCCCAGCATGCCTTGGGGGACCCAGAAGAGCTCAGAGGAGGGTCCAGAAGAGACTGAGCCATATTTTCTCTCTGGAATCTAATAAGAAGGACAACCTAGTCAATTTCAAGAAAGTATAAACCAGGCCATTTCTTCCTAGGAGTCCCCAGAGAAGCCATTGGTGTCCTATCCCCCTTGAGGGCCCCAGGCCATAATGACAGCAAGCCCTTATGGGGTGCTCACTCTGTGCAGGCACTGCTGTGAGCATTTTCTGGGCACTCACTCACTTTCTCCTCACAAACAGCCTTATGAGGCATCTACATTCTTTTCCCTATTTAAAAGTGGGAAGCAGTGGCACAAAAGGTTAAGTAACTCCTTGGGTCACATGACTGGTAAATGGTGGAACCAGAATGTGAATACAGACCCTCTGGCTCCTGAGATCCTGCAAGTGTTTGCAATAGGTGCAAACACCAGTGGAATGTTCCAGAAGGCATCAGTCCCAGGCCCTGTGGGAATCAAAGAAGCTCACCTGATGGCCGTGTAAAAGGCTTCCAGTGTCTCTCTAGTCTCTGGGTTTGTGTTTTCTCCAGCAAGGAAATCCGGGAGGCAGCCTGCAGGGCTGTCTGTGGGAGCCATTCACCACAGCTGTGTGTTCACTGTCCCTCAGTGCCCTCTGCCCAGCGGGGCCAGCTGTGCAGCACTGGGGTGCCAGGATCAGCCACACATGCAGGCCGAGGATTTGGTTTTCTGAATCTGGGTGTCCTGGTTATGAGGAAAAAACCATTTTCATTTTCAAATAGAAATGAAACTATCCAATTAATTCTTACTCAGCACTACTTAACAATAATCAGCATTCATAAGGGGATAATTGTGTCAGCTACTGTTCTGAGGGCTTTACAGGTATCAACTCCTCTACTTCTCCCCAAATAACTCTAAAAAAGCAACATCATCATCCCCCTTTCTCAAGTCTGGAAATGATAGCAGGGAGGCCAAGTAACTGCCCAGTGTACCCCCATGGCTAGGATGTGGTAGAGATGGGATTGGAGCCCAAGTATTTTGTTGCTGGAACCCTCATTCTTAATCACTACTCTGTCAGCTGTGTGACTTTGGACAAACAGCTTGACCTTTCTGAGCCTGACTTTTCCCCCTATGAGATGGAGCTGGCACCTGCACTCAGCATTGCTCTGAGGAGTGCAGGTTCTGGTGCCGAGGCCCCAGCACAGAGGGCTGCTGTCATTAACACCAACACGGGAATTTGTAGGTGCTTTACTTTGCAAAGAAATGGAAAGACAACCAAACAAGGCTGATTTCCCGGAGGCCAGTTACACGGGGTAGAATAAAGTGATATGGCTCCTCAGTGGCTCCCTCTGAGGAGGTTTGGTGTTTTAATGCCCCGATGCTGGTGGGCGCTGCCCCCTCCTGTTACTTTATGTTTTCATGTGTGACACCCACAGGGGTGGATCACTGCGCGGAGCAGGACCATGGCTGTGAGCAGCTGTGTCTGAACACCGAGGAGTCCTTCGTCTGCCAGTGCTCGGAAGGTTTCCTCATCAACGAGGACCTCAAGACCTGCTCCCGTGAGTCCCCCTCTGCACGTCTCTGATAGGGGAGAGATTTGCAACAGGAGTAGAAAATGTGAGCACTGCAGAGGACGGCAGGTCACGGTCCCCACTTCTCTTTGGCCCTTTCTCTGCTCAGCGGACACAATGGGAATGGGGCTATCCTCCGGGGACTGCATGCCTGGGTGTGAGGTGGGGTAGGAAAGCATGATGGTAGCTCGATTCCCATCTCAGTAGCCCAGCGTCCTCGCTGACAATCTCGCCTGGCCATTGGGTTTTGCAGGGGCTGATTATTGCTTGCTGAGCGACCATGGTTGCGAATACTCCTGCGTCAACACGGACAGATCCTTCGCCTGTCAGTGTCCCGAGGGACATGTGCTCCGCAGTGATGGGAAGACCTGTGCCAGTGAGTGTTCTGAGGTCTGGGGACAAGCGGGATTTCGCGTGGGCAATCCGCAGTGGGGTGCACTGCCAGACAGGTAGTGTCCGTCCTAGCGTCTGGTTCCCAGGGTTTTGCTGGCCGGAGTAAATGTGCGGAAAGGACTCTCCTGAGCCCTTGTGCTGCTCGCCCGCCCCCTGCCTTCCTTTCCAGCTCCCTGACATGGCTGTTCCTACTTCCAGTCTGCCTCGTGGTCATTTTGAAGCTGGACGGAGCCCTATTTCTTAGTTCTCATTCCTCTACCCTTTCAATCTGACTGGAAGTGGCGGCCAGCCGGGTTCCACAAAAATAATACCGTAGATCCCTTACTGACTGCTGACTCAGTGCTGGCACTGTGCTAAGCACAGGCATTCGTGGTTCTTGCAGCCCTGTGAAATCCCCATCCGGCAGTGAAGAAACTGCAGCTCAGATTAAGTAAAGAGCCTAAGGTTACCGGCTATTACCCGGTGGCTTCAAACTCTGGTCTGTGTGACTTCAGAGTCAGTTCTGGGAGAAGGGGAGGCTCCTTAGAACCCTCCCCTCCCCCTATCCTGATAATCTGGTAGCCCATGGTGAGGTTGGCAGTGATGTGTCCTAGGTACAGTCTTCCTTGCAGCTGGTCCCAACTTTGGTCTCCATTAAGTCAAAAAAAAAAAAAAAGAAAGAAAGAAAGAAAAAAGAAAAAGAAGAAGAAAGAAAGAAAAGAAAAGCAAGAAAAAGCTCCCAGGCTTTTCTCTCTCCTTCATTCAAGAATGCGGTTTTCTGCTGTGCAATCTCGTTTCCATGTGGACAAAGATAAAGACTTACAAAAATAGTCATTTTGAGAAAAGGGATCAGAAATGGAGGGGAAGGACTATATTTTACCCTCCCCGTCCTGCTGGTCTTTCTGATTATAGGGTCAAGTTCCCTGACCACTGATGCAGTTGTGGCCACAACCTAATTTATCCACCTTTTTCTATGGTCTATTCACATGGGCAGGTGAGCCAACTGCATAGCTGGGTGTGCCTCTCTAACTGTGCAGCCTGAGAGAAATGTTTCCCTGGTTTGAGACAGATTCTTGAATCTTGGCAAATGGGTTATCCGTTTTCTAGTTGGCTTGTGGCTGCCTGCCCAGCTGCATACTGGACTGCTGCTCCAGTCAGCATGGGGAGGGTGTGGGCACTGGGGTGCAGAAAGAGGGTGGGTGTGTCAAATTGCATCAATAGCTGACAGCATGCCAAAGCCACATGCACAGTTTTTTATTGGTTTGTTTTAATTCTCCATCATCTTCAATTATTCATGCCCTTCCTTTGTCCTCCCCCTTACTGTGATCATGGAGAGCTGACTATAAGATGGTTGCAGGCCTTCTGGGAAATTCTCACAGCTCTTCTAAACAAATGCTGCCCCTTTTTCTCACAGTTGCTTGCCCCCACCCATCACCCAGGTCCACATCTGGGTTACGCCACTGACACTTCTAAATGTTGCCCATTTTCTCATTTAAAGTATGTTTGTAACTAGTGATACAGTGATGTCATCCATATGAGTAAATGTTCAACAATACTATTAGAAGTGAATTTTCATATGTGTATGTTTATATGTGGTTGTGACTATATGAAAAGTTGTGAGATGATCAGATAGGTTAGAATTATCCTCAGGGAACAGTGATACCTAAGAGATGCATTTTCCCCACCAGCTGATACTTATGTGTTGAGCTATTCTCCTAATTGAAGACTTTCTGTCTGCCCCAGGATGATTCAGTCTGGCCGCCCTGTCCTGTAATAATGGGCTATTCTCAGTGTGTCAATAGTGAATTGGAGGTTGGGATGATGTTTCCCAGCTCTGTTCCAGATGACGAAGAGCCTGATGATATGACTGCACCTTTGTGGAAAAGGGCTGTGGATGGCCTGGCTCAGCAGATAAGGAAGGGTGTCTTTGGCCCTTCATAAAGGCAGCCTCCACTTAGAGACTTGCTAGCAGGTGGCCTGAAGAATCCTTCACTCAACTTCCAGAAGGGTGTCTGAAGCATGCAGAGCATGTCCAGGTTCCCAGAGCCCTGGAACTAAGTGAGCACTGTTACCCTCCTACTCCTGCAGGCACCTTGGACTCTCTGACCTCTGGAGGGAGGCCTGTCTTCCCTTCCTCCTGCCCTTTGGCCCCAACCTTTGATGGCTCTGATTCTCCCTAGGAGCCATCCTTGTCTTGGGGGGATTGATGCACAGGTTGGGGATGAGGTAGGCAGGGGAACGGGGTAGACTCTTCTGTGAGCTGCAGCTGAGAGTCCTCTTCCGCCCCTGGAAATTTCCCAGAGATAGACCTTTCACAAGGGCATCCCTGCATCAGGAAAGACTCCACAGGCTAGATGTGCACGGAACACACAGCCCACTGACCTGCCAGCTCCTGGAAGTTGGAGACTGGGTCTTATGTAGAATCTGAGTTCCCAGACTGGCCCATGAGAGGTGCACAATAAAGTTCAATGAGTGAGAGACTGGTCAGAGACCACCTGTCTTTTTATTCTGTGGTATTTGGCACAGGGCCCACTCCCTGCTCAGTAACTGTCAGTGACTTTGCACTGTCTCCCAAAATAAATTTACAGTCATACTCCTTGATTTGGCAATGTCAGAGCACCCCTCCCTCCACCTCTGAGTTCCACCCCAAGTCCTCCCTGAGCCCTCTGGGTCTTCAGGAGGTGAGGGCCCCTGTTCTTTGAGCAGATGGTGCACCCCCAGATCATCCTCTCTCCACTTAGGACAACTCCTCTATCCCACCCCTGCTAGTGGAAATCCAGCCTATGTCTGACATCACCTCCTCATGGGGAACTTCCTGCCACCACCCCACCCTCTGCAGGCTGGGTCTGGACCTCTCCGCCACAGGCTCTCCTGCCCAGACCTCACTCTTGGCTCTCTGTGCATAATCTAAGAAACAGTGTGGCAGAGTAGAAAGAATACTGAACTAAGAGCCCCAAGACTGGCTTCAAATCTTGTTGCTTCCACCCTGGCCCAGGGGATTGACCCTCTGTGGATCTGATTGCTCAACTGTAAACAGGGAGGGATCATTTCTGCCTCTCTGTCAGAGTTGCCACATGGAACAGAGAGAGACGTTCATCGAAGTGCTTTTGGAACCTGTAAATTACCATAAACCCCTAAGATACTCTTGTTAAGGTTTTACCTCCCACTGTTAGACTGCCCCACACTGAGGAGAGAGCTGAACTAGCCCCTGCCTTGCTGCCTAGAGACCCACCTCCCAGGACCAGATCTGCTTTCGTTGGAGGGGCCCCAGAGATGGGCCACCTTGGGAGGGTCAGACTCAGGAGCCCAAGGATGCCCTACAGAGACCCCCTTCCTCTGACAGGTGAAGGGCGTAGGCAGGGGTCTGGGGCACAAACATAGAGTACTGGGAATTCCAGTCAGGGTCGCCCACCATAGGCAGTCTGTGATGGCCTGTCGAAGCCTGATTCCCCCCAGCTTGACTTCAAAGGACAGAAGAAACCGTGAGCAAGGCAAGTGGAGTGTTGTAATATGCTTGGGCTGCTGTAACAAAATACCATGGAGTGGATGGCTTAAACAACAGAAATTTATTTTCTCACAGTTCCAGAGGCTGCAAGTCCAAGGTTGAGGAGCCAGCAGGGTCAGGTTCAGTGAGAACCTTCTTCTTGGCTTGCAGATGGCTGCCTTCTCACTGTGTCCTCACGTGGCAGAGAGAGCAAGCTCTCTGCTGTCTCTTCTTATAAGGACACTAATCCCCTCTTGGGGTCCCCACTCCCGTGACCTCATCTAAACCTCATTTATCTCTCACAGGTCCCATCTCCAAATACCATCACATTGGGATGTAGGGCCTCAACATATGGCTTTGGGGTGACACAGATCAGTGTCTGTAGCAGGGAAGAAGGTCACTTTCCCCCTCGCGTATTCGTCTTATAGGTTTGACGGAACAGAAGGAAGCTTAGAAGCCTTCCTTTCTTTTATGGGAACCAGGCACAGGGAAGAAACTGGCACTCCAAGTTGGCCCTGGGGTTCAGTCAGGACAAGAACCCAGGTCCCCTGATTCAGGATCTCTTGCCCAGAGTGAGTGAGATGCCCTCTAAAAGTATGCCTCATTTCAGCTGCTTTTTGGTTTGTCTAAGAAAAAGGCTCCACAGAGTTAGCAAATGATTGGCTGCTCCACGTTTTATTATAAGAAAATCCGGAAAACAGTGTCATTCTATCTCCTGGCCTTGGTTACACTCTAGGCAGGCAGCTACTGTGGTTTTCTCTTTGTGGGGTTGGGGTTGGTTTTAATAACCTCCTATGTGGAGCCTCAGACACAGAATTGCTGTTTGTCATCACCGCAGAGGTGCGAGTCCACGGAACACACTACCCCATGATTGTCATACCGCAGACATACGTGACTTACCAGATATGGAATCCAGATGTGGGCAGCACAGTCTGCATCAACATCCAGGGCTGTCAGAGGGGTCCTAAAACCCTGCACTATGTCCTGAAACTTCTGATCATCCTGATCACAAATCGCAGTCCCCATTCATGATGAGGCTTAATTAAATGTGTGGACCTGCCTCAAGTGTGAACAGAAGAGGAGCCTTCTTTTAGAGGGACAATGCTTCCTTCTCCAGCCTGAGATTTCTCATAAGTCCTGTCATCCATTTCATTTCAATGATGGTTCCCAGTTGAGTCTGTCCTCATTCTCATCTGTGGATTTGAGTCTAGGAGCTTCCTTAAGCTCTTGGTCCATTTGTTCTCATTTTCCACAAGCGTTTACTCTGTACCTGAAGTGTGCTGGGCATATCGTGCTGGCTGTGTGCCTCCCTGGAGTTGATGCAGGTTCAGTTTCTGCCCTGACAGAGTTGAAAGTACTCAGAGAAGAAAGATATTAAAGGCATATCATCCATTCTGTTTGATGAGAGTTGTGATGTGGGTAGAAGTGATGCCACAGGAGCATGCGACAGGGAGACTGTCACCTAGACTAGAGAAAGTCTCCTGAGAAAGAGATGTTTGACCTAACACCTAGAGACTGAT